CACTCAGTTTGGTATAATTGGCAAACTTTGTCAGGTTACACTTGATCCCATCATCCAGATCACTTATGAAAGTATAAAACAGCATCAGGCCCAATATCAATCCCTGGGGGAACCTACCTGTGGCAGGTACCAGTTGCCCACTCACTGCACAGGCCACTTGTCTAGAGCCCCACATATCAGTTTCTCCAGGAGGAGGCTGTGGAAAACGGTATCAAAAGCCTTGGAGAAATCCAGGTAGACAACGTCCACCAAGCAGGTTACTTTGGCAATCAGGTTTGTCAAGTACAATTTGCCCTTGGTGAATCCTAGGTGGTTTTTCCTAGTCACATGCTTCATCTAACTTGTAATAGCACTGTATACCTTGAACTACCATACTGATGAAAATATTTCTGTAAATCTCTTTAGGTCAATCATATGGTAGAACTGTTTTTTAAACCTTTCATCACTTTTCTACCTGCAACAAAATGTCAGATAATTATTGTCTGAAGCAGAGCAATAGTCTGTAATTGTTAACCCAGCTAAATGCATCTCAGATAATACTATATCAAAGCAAACAAAAGATGGTACTTTGTGGTAGCCATAAGCAAAGAAAGGAGTGGTCAAGGTCTTTAATGCTTATTCTTGCAGGATTTTTTCTACTCTCTCTTCACATTGTAACCTCAAAAGTCCCTTAATCTCTATTGGTACCATTCACCTTTGTCCTCTTTAGGTATTGCATTAATTGCCATGTTGCATTAATTATCACTTTAACCATGAGCTTTCTCCTACATCCACATATGGATAAAATTTAATTGTCTGCTGGCTTCTGGAAATAGACAGCAGTGAATAAAACTGATCCATTAAATCATCATAATTTCAGTCCCCAATCCTGGCTTGTGGGATGCAGATTGGTTCAAGAGGTATTTGTCAAAGCTGAAAGATGCATGTACAATTAAGTGTCCTCTTTATTCAATGGCTGTCTTCTTTTGTGTGGAATATAGCCTATTATCATTTATATGCGTATTTTATGTAGCTATACAGTTAGATGGAAGAATAAGTATCCCTCTTCTTGCCCAGACTGTCTGTGACATCCTTTGTTTAAAGTATTTTTGAGTGCTAATTAAGTTTTCACTGCCCCTCTCTTTAATGTCTGCTACAAGCCAGCTCCCATTCAGTAACCACCTTGAAGTTACCATAGATCTTGCTAGTTATCTGTTTCTCCATAATTCCAATGGATAAGAACCTGTCCATTCTGTGACAAACAGGGCCTAAATTATACAGTAAGATTCTCTGACCTTCTAACATAGTAAACTGCAAATACTGCAACTTCAGTTAAATTTTAAAAAATGAGATTATTATTGCATTCAGTATAAAATGAATAATCCATGAAAGAAATTCCTTGCATTATTTGTCACAGTAAATTAAACTTGTTTTATCCTGCACCTGCATTTCTGCACTGCTTCTGAAATGTAAGGGAAATGAAGAAATGAGGGCAAAAAAATTATCAGGGGCAATGACTGCAGTTATGCTGGCTAGAAGATAATTGGGAATTTGGAGCATGAAGGAAGCCTTAGGAAATTGTTTGAGACTCAGGATACAGAAGGCATTGTGAATGCCTCTGCTTAAAAGACAAGCCCATAAAAAGTCTATCTGATTAACATCTTAAATGGCTCAAGAGAAGTACAATTTCAGCCTGTCTGCACAGTGCTGATCTGTTCTTACCTGCACTAAAGATTTGGCAGAAACACTATTCAGAAAGCAACAGGTTTATGTCTAGATCCACGTAAAGACCTTTAATGTTGCAGAGCCTAAATTTTGGGATGGAAGGATGTGTCTCAAGTAGTGAAGAGGAAAAACTGAAGAGAGGATGTGTCTTAAAGCTGACCTTTCTTCTTATAGTGGCACAAGGACAAAGATGGGTCAAGACATCTCCTAAGTCCAAGGGCCAGCCTGTTGTGATTCCCACCTCAACAGCTCTTCCAAAGTTACTACTCATGTCATCAGGCTGGCAGCAGCCTCAGGACAGGAGAGAGGAGGAAGTACTGTGTCCTGTATGTTGTAGCAGCACTCGGGGGCTGACTCCTGTCACAAAACTGTGAGGTTCTCTGTTTTCAATCCATATCGAACAATTTTGTAGCTGAAATTGGCAATCCATCATCCTTGCCCCTAGATGAAGTGAGATGCCTCCAGTGCTTAAGCCCTCCTCTTCCCACGATAAATACTCAATTTATTAAGGCAAGGGAAAAAGACAGGTATATGTACAACACAGGGGGCCGTGTAACTTGCCCCCTGAAATGTTTCTGGATCCATGTGAGAACTGTGTTTGAAAATAGGAACAGCGGTACCCAGGGAGAGCTCTTAATCTAACACAATACTGCTTGCCTTTCTGCTTGTTTTTGTGGGTTCTGTTGATTGGTGAGCTCATGAGCTCACTGGGTCAGACTGCAGACGTGAGACATTCCATCCTCCACAGGTGCTTCATTTGCGGATCCAGATGCACAAAGGGAAACGAGATGGGTCCCTTGCTGTGGAGTACCCTCAGACACCTGAGGTTTTTGAGGACTGAAATTGAAAAGCCTTCAGGGCATCCCTTTGTGCATCTATCTCTTAGACCTTGACTGTAATCCTGACCTGTATCTCTACAGAGCCTGTTCAGGGTGTTTGCTAGCAATGTTTGAATCCAGTTTTAACCGGAAGAGAGAAAGAGCATTTATTTATTTCTTGAATGAAAACAAACTCAGTCACTGGAATGTGACTCAGAAGAGCAGATTGCCAGCAGTACAGACATTAAACTATTGATTTGTTATGCGAAATGCAGGTTTTTTTGTACAGATGGTAAAAGATTTTGACATGAGATCTGCAGCTTTGTTATCACCTCCGCTATTCACTGCTGTCTGCAGGGTGAGCTGTTCCCCACCACTTCTGTTTGCCATTCACGTCAAGGGCTCTGGGTGGGACTGGGATGTGTGAGATAGATTTCATTGATTTTTTTGTACTACTAGGAAGATCCAGAGCAATGATGAAGTTCTACCTTGAGAATGAAAGTTGTACAGATCCATCACTACTTCTGTCTTTGGGGCATCCCACAAACAGTGTGGCCTATATATATCCTCCTTAGATGAGAAGAGCATTTCACAACTTCCAAACGTGAAGATGGCATGGGTTTCTAGATCTCTTTGCAATTAAAGCAGATTAAACATTTCAAGCTTATTTTTTTCCCTGTCTTAGGAGGATATCAAGGCTACTGAATTTCACCCAAACTGGTATATCAGTCCAGCAGTTTCTCAGATGAAAAGACTTAGTATAGGAGTCCACAGGCATTTCCACCTACTGCCTCTAAACAAGTGTTTTGTCAGGCTGCTCTGAAAGTGGATTGCAGAACCTCTAGATCTTTAGAGCTTTCCAGGGAAGGTGGTGGACTCCCATACTCCCAGGACACTGTGTTCTCCAGCAAGAAGTCTGGCAGGTATCAAGAATCCCTGGGAAACATCATGGCTGATATGCCATGTTAGGCTACTCCTGCCTGGGTGTCACCCCATTTCACAGATGCTGGCTCCTTGCTGTTACGACCCACCCCTGAAGGTGGGGTAGCTGAGATTCTTGTTCATAAGAGATCCCTTGGGGCAGATTAAAGTGAAACAACACTAAACAAAAAATGTTTATACACGTAATATATATATACACATAACAGATTTTTCTTCAGAACAATTTGATTCCAATGGAAAGGAGATGTAGCTATTTTGGTAATTATCTGTAGAAATATAGCAATATGAAGGCATAATGATAACACTTGACAAAATGTATAAGGAAAAGAAAGAAAGAGAAAGAAAGGATAAGAGTAGAAATATATCACTACCCGTGGACCCAGTGATGAGACTTGATTGCTGCAATTTCAGTGTCTGTTGGTGGAAGTGATGGTCACAGTCTTAATCTGTTGGTGGTGGGGAAAGCCTGTGAAACACAAAGTGGGTTAATATATGCTCAGGTGTACTCACCCAAGTACCTCCCCTGGAGGGGGAGTCTTCCACTGATGTAACACTGAAGACCACATGCAGTCCTCTGGTGGAAGGCCTCAGAAATTAATCTGGGGGTACTTTGGGGTCTTTGATGGTTTATGACACCTTCTAAGACATGACAACTGCCTCTCACATCAGCATTGTTGAGCCAGTTATGCCTCATCAGAAGGGATGAATACCTTCAGGCCTATGAGTGAATGTGAATGTGAATGTTCCAATACCTCCTCTAGGGTGGAGAGTTTTTACACCTGAGCCAGTTATATGAGTGGAAATTGACATGATAAAAAGCATTATCCCACCTCCAAAGGGTTTACTTCTTATAAGCCTTCTCCTTTATCTCAAAACCCAGCTTGTAGTCCCTGGTGGTGGGTATGCACACCCTCTGCACCTAGGCTGTTACCTTGCACATCATCAGCAAAGCACCCGCTGTTTTTGCAAATGGTCGATTGTTTGAGTCATTAACCCTTTACATTTCCATCTCTCACACTCATTGCCCCCCCTCCTGACAGCAAGCTGGCTGCATGGACAGCTTAGCTCTGTGTTCGTAGGCCTGGCAGATTGCAGAAGAGCATGTTGCATTTTGGAGGTACTGCAATGTCCCTGCTTGGAAACCATTCCTGTTTCCAAAATAAAAGCACTAAAGATTTTTTGCTTCCACTAAGAATCTTAAGTATTTGGCTTTTTGTTGCTTTGTTATGGTTTTGATTTTATTTATTACATGCAAAATACTCCAAACATTTCCATTCTGGTTTTTGGCCTGCCCTACAGGACTCACTGCAGAGATGTTGAGAGCCCAGCTACATACATAATTACTCTTTACTGGCACCTATGACATAAACAGAAAAAAGGATTGTTGTGTTTCAGACTGATACATAAACAGATGTATAAATTGCCTGGCTGCATATCCAGGTGCTGGGGTCTTTTCCAAAGTAATGCATTATGATCTGGCTTCACTCACAGTTGACAAGGATTGAAAGTCCAAATATCTTTTGTTCCTCTTCTCAGTTCTGCTCTACATTAAATATTTGAATTGAAGATAGCATACTTCTCTGCTTAAATGATAGCTAAAATGGAGGACTACAACTCCTCTTCAAGTGAATAAGGAGAGACAGCAGAAATGTCTGAAATAATACCCATGGTGAGAAGATTAATTTTTTTCATTCTAGCATTTCGCAGTATTATTGGCTTGTTCCTTCGTATTAAATCTTTTCCACTTTTTTCTGCTATAGAAATGTAATTTGCATCATGTCTTTTTCCCAGGAGGCAGATGCTAGAAACTCCTCAGGAGCTGATTAAGATTTTTCTCACTGAGTTCACATTTGTCGTGTAATGATTTGTGAGTAGTCTGACTTGTTTGAAATACTAATGCTAGAAGTTTGGCTTAATTGACTAAGCTCTGGATCTTCTATAAACTTCACAAATTCTTTCCTAATTTCTTTCATTACAATGGCCTGCAAAGAAGTGGATCAGCAATCATCATTAAAATGTCATTTATATTCTGTGTGACTTCACTCTCCACATATGCTATATATTATACCTGCAAGAGGGAATTTTTGTGCTAACTTCTGCAAAAGTGGTAAGATTATCACAAAAAGGAAGTATATGCTGAAGATACAAAGAACTGTGGTTAGCTTTGACTCCAGCCAGAGCAGTTTTATAATGGAACCATACCCATTGATCCAATACTTGTGATGCTTTCCGATTATCCATGCAGTTCAGGACTCCCATCTAAATCACTTAATTCAGGTCCTTTTAAAACTTCCTGTATGTCACAGGACAATGGCATACCTTTCATACAATTACACTTCTTCATATATTATCTGCTAATTAATGCCCTTAGAAAGAATTTCTCTGCTTTCCACTAAACTAATTGGGCAGCAGAGAGTCCAAACTTTTAGCCAGTACATTGGTGAATACCTCAGCATCAATACAGAACTAGTAGACAGGGCTATGACTGGCAAAATCAAACTTGTCTTTGCTAGGTTTCAAGCCAGTTAAAGATGCGCTTCTATTGATTTTGAAATTTTGACATTTTCTCAGATTGCGAACTTAGCAGGGTTGCAAGTTAAACTCTTGCTCTGTTTAATGCCTCAGTAAGGCTTTTCCTCCTGCTCTTTTTAGTCTTCTACCATTTCTTCACATATTCCTTCGCAGTTATTTTTGTTAAACTTTCCTAGCATTTTTTCATCCAGGATCTGAATTACTGCAATGTCGGTTGTTAACCTTAGTGTGCAGTCTGAGCTTTTAAAACTTCTTTGTCCATCAGCTTGCCTAAATGGGAATAACCACTTGCAAATTGAACACACTTTGTGATTATGCCTCTGAAGTATACCCTGTTTAACACACATCAAAATACCCTTATAAGTATAGGAAATGGGGATTTCCCTAGTTTTGTTGAAGACAAAGGGTGATAATGGAACCGTTAGGATCAAGGAAGGAATTGAAGCTCCTAAAATCCTAAAATCTTCCTAAATCTGGAAGAACTTCCTCAAAGCAATGCAAAGCTACAATTCTAATAGTCTCTATGTAAGTATACCGTGGGTTAGCTAGTGTCTTTTTCTAATTATTTACATCGGTGTTCAGTTTCTTTCTTCTTTACAGGACTGCCTAGCTGGCATACAGCCAGGTGTCTCACTGCCCAGACCCTTAGAGGCATGGCCTGCTAGATATTCTCAGACCATGCCTAAAAATATATCAACAGACTTACATATTTCACAAAACAAAAATGTTCCAAATCTTCTTTTCTGTCAGAAATGCAATAGGAGATTTTAGTGTGTACTGACCTGTGTGGCTGGCACATTCTCGCAGGAACAAGAAAACCTGCCCATCTTTTCTTTCTGTCTAAGGGGATCCAGATCTCCTCCAAATCTCAGGATTTATTGGACTAGATAAAAGGAAAAAGAAGAAATGCACATGTATCCTAAAATTACTTGCACTACTTCAGGAGTGAAGAGGCCAGCGTTTTAATCACTGTTCCTGGGACCATGACTTTTTAATAGAAAATTGAAAAGCGGTACTAGGAACCGTGCTTCTGGGTTGGGAAAACTGGGGTTGAAATACTTCAGGTCTCCTCATTTTGTAGGAAAACAGGGTTGGACAAGAACACTTCCTCTTTTACTGCTCTCAGATGTCATACTTTTGCAGGAAGAAATGAGCCATACTTGCATGCTATTAAAAAATGTGTGGATATCTGTCATGAAGAGCTGGCTACCAGCTCCCAGGTAACACAGAGGTAGGGAACTCATGCCCTAGTACAGCAGCATGACACTCAGCTCCTTTATCTTCATCAGGAAGTCTCAAGCTCAGTGTTTTGGCTCTTTGCACTTGCTATTTTTTGTCACATACGTCCCCATGTGCTGAATGCTAGGCTTATCTAGGGTTCTATCTTCACTCCTAGGCATCCTATCTCTGTTCAGTGCTTCCACTCTTATTGTGCTGAACTGCACACTCATTTATCATAGAATCTAAGTGGGATATATCCTTGTTCACAGTTTAATAATTCCTGTTATGTGCTCATTTACTTTTCACTGGTACAATCTGATATACAGCACAGTGCAAAAGCCAGGGGTGCTAGGCTATAGCTGGTTGCAATGTGTATGAGGTGTTCCACCTATATATACACCCAGGAAATTCTCTCTGCCTTACTTCAGAGTTTCTTTTGCATGAATTTAACACTTTTTTGAAGAGTTCCTCCTTCTTTATGTCAGTCTGGTCTGGGATTTCTTTCAATCCAGTGTTATATCTTCTTTCTCAATTCTCCAAATTATCTATTTTTTAGGTGCTTTCTTTCAAGATCCTGAAGTCTCTTATCTCTATAGTTAACTGTATCTGAATGCCTGTTTAAGCCTGCCTCAACTTCAGTCACTCTACCTTTTATTGTAATTCCCTGAAAGAGGTTTACATCAAAGCTTTCATTGATGTTAGCTTAGACAGTAATTCTCTAATGTCTGCCAATCTTCCTCTGTTCTATTTTGTTTGTAGCACAATGCTAGGCCTCCAAGACCTCCTGGGGTCCCAGTGATTCTCTCTGGCCGCTTGTAAAGGCATTGATAATACCAGCAGTGCACCTCTGTACAAGTGTGCTGGCATAAGGGATTGGCAAATATTTTAGGTAGGGCTTCTGGATAATTTGCATTTTCTCAAAATCATCAAAAATTACATACTGATGGCTGCTTTGAATAACTGCTACAGCCTTTAAGACATGCCTTTTGCTCTGAAGAGCATCTACTATCCATTTTTTCATTTAGATTTCTGAACTTTTCAGACTTTATTAAAGGGTGAGTTCAGCCTCCTTGATCCAGTTTGTGACACATCACTCATGATTGCATGCTCATGTCACTTTTACATGCATATAAAATAGACTTAGGAAAATGTATCCCAAAACCCAGATCTACATGCTCAAGCTTCTCCTTTTGCCAAAAAGCAAATTCCCACGATTAAGCATATTACTCATTTATGCCTTTCCTGCCATATGAATATGGAAAAATACCTAGCCCTGCATTCTGCATTTCTTTGAAAATGGTCTGTGCCTTCATCTTTCTTTCTACTTCTCCTGCTTCTAATACAGAGTAGAAGAAATACCTTCTTTTTCCTTCTGTGCCCTTTCTGCACCATCTTCTGCAGTACTGTCTTCTGCACAACTACCACTGCAAAATCATTTGTTAGCTCCTTGATGCAGTTGTACTCAATCTGAAATAGTTCTCTCCTCAGCTGCTTTTACAGCCAGTACCCGTCCAGATTGAAATCAAATGCCCCATCTGGGATAAGAATGTTGGAAGTGCTCTCCATGGCCAAAGTGAAAAAATATACATCTAGTTGTCCAGTTTTGCACTGCTAAGGAAAACTTGCTGTAAAATGTGTAATTAGGAAGTTCTGCAGAGAGAGGTGAATCCTAAATCCCATCTTCCACTGAAATTTGCATGTTGTTATGTGAACAGCACAGTGCTTACAGGGGATTAGTTTCCCCAAACACTCATCTAGAAATAGATATCTCCAATGTGTAAGGGGCCACCACAGAGTCTGCTGTTAAAACTGTGCTGAAACACATCATGGTTGTCATCTGCTATAAATTTGTCCTTTGGTGGACATTACCCCTTTCACTGGAGCAACTCTGACACCAAGGGCACGAACTCCCGGAGGGCTGCCATGTAGGGTAGAGAAGCTTCACTAAAGAGAAGCTCCTTCTAACAGGAGGAGCACCCCACACTGTGCTTTGAGTTGAGAGCCCAAACTCACACATAAGTCTCAGCTCATGCTTCTTTTTTGGGGGGATTAATAGCTGAGCTGTGCTCTTCAGAAACACAGAAAAGCAGACAACTATCTAAGCAGTATCTGCTGTAGCAGCCCATTTTGACCCAGTGGAAATACCATGTATTTCATACCAGTCCTGATTATTGCTGCAAAGGCCCTTGCTTTTCCCTGAGCCTGGGTTTATAAGAATACTGCAATGGATCTTACAGCTTCCATGTTCCCTGTCACAGGAACCATAGAGACAGCCTAAAAGAGAGAATTCTGCACAGGTGTTACTATTCTCCTCTAAATTAAAACCTCTATTGCTTTCTCCAGAGATGAAGAAATCAATCAGCAGTCCTCTCCCTCTAAGAACAGAAACGTTTGAAGCCGTTTCCTTTGCTTTAATCTACAGGATATTCTGCTCTTGCTTTTTTTGCTCAGTTTTCTCCTGGTCCAAGATCTCGTAGCCCTGATTTAGGTGCTAACATGCTGCAGTGAGTTACCATCCCCAGGCAGCTTCATCATCTCCAATCTGTGCAGGCTTAAACTCTTAACCTATCATAATACCATGGTTAAGACCCATCATACATTTGAACAATTTAAAAGCCCGTCTGCTTCCCCACCATTCATTCTCTCTCTCTCAGTAAAGGCAAAATCAATTGCTCCCCATATGAAACAGAGGGAAGAAAAGTGGGCGTTTTCCATGGCTTTTTACAGCATTATAGACCCACCTTCCATGACCAAGTCTATTTTATGCTTCTACTGTTCTCAACCTTGCTGGTCTTTGAGGATGAAAAAGAATAATAACCTCCTTCACACTGCTGATACTCTGACATGACTTTAAATGACCAGAAACTTACATTGCAGTATTACATAGATACTGTGACTTTTATGCCACAATGTAGTGATTTGCATTATTCCTGTTAAAATCTGCAAAGTCATTGGTCTTCCCAATACACTATTTGTCATTTGGATACTCCTAAGACAGCCTCATTTCTAAAGTAATCATAAGGATTGAATAACTACATAGTGTCTAGTTTAAGAAGGTAAATGATGGTGAGTCATGAGACAATGAAATTTTACTAGGAATTTTACAGGTAGCACTACCCTGCTCATAGAAAGGATTTCTTGCTTTGTGCCTGCAGTTTCATAGAATGTAGGCATATGTGTGTTCGTTACCTCCCTGTACAGTAGAATAAAAGAAGTTGAACTGTAGTAAGCCTGAGTGCTCACTGCCAGACAAAAGCTTAAATCAAATCAAATAAGGAAAGCCATGGTTCTGCAATAAGCACAGGCGGTAGGCACACTAAAACAGAGTATTTACAGCAACCAAACAAAAACTAACTGCATACATAAAAAGCCCATCTTTTTTTCCAGTTCTTGTATCAGTTTGATTTCTATCTTGCCTTCAGTGATCAGGGAGAAAAGAGCTCCTATTGTTTAGTGACATTTCCGAATATTTATAGCTCTCTAGTAGTAACCTTTTGTTTGGTAGATAGCAGAGTTTGCACAGCATGTTGAGTATGTCATTAAACATTTGCCTGAAGATCTGAGTGTTAGTATCAATGACAGACTTTCCTAAACATGTCACATTTTCTTTGACTGTCATGAAAAATTATAGCTACTGTGACTCACACTTTAATAGCAGCTATTTGTGATATTTTAACCTAATGTACAGCCCCAGAGGAGAAACAAGAGACACAATAAAGCATCTGCCACTGACTTGCTTGAACTGAGGGACTCCAAGCATTATTAGGATGCCAAATTAAAGAGAAAAGGCTCTTGTGTCAAATGCCAAAGGGTCTTGGTGTTTGTTAA